CTTTAGTAAAAGCCCCAAAGCCTTTCCTCCGCACAGGCTATTTGTTTTTGGAGAGAGCTCTCATGTGGGCAGCAGAGTCTGAGGACTCTCAATCCAGATAATACTCTTCTTAAGCAGCAACTCATACACAATGATACACAATGACTTAACACAAACTACAGAGAGAAAACGTGTTATATGTGTAAATTACAAAAACTGCACGACTCTAGAGACTTATTTTTAAATTACATATTTTTTATTTCCAATTTTTTCAACTGGACCATGAAATCTCAGGAAATGTGCCAAGCCTTAGTTTGAGCCCCAGGAGGGTCCCAGTGCCCTGCTGCACTGCTGGTGTCCCATGTGGTCCTTTGTTTCATAGGCTGATAATACCTTATCACCACCTAAGTGTTTGGGTTCCATGCCAGTTCCACCACGAATTTAGCTGTGTGACTTTGGGAAAGTGTAAAGTTGCTCAAACTGTGTGCCTCGGTTTGCTGATTCCTAAAATGGGACTAACGATACCTGCCCGTTGGCATTTAGCAAAAATAAAATGTCGATGCTCTGAACACAGCACCTGGCACCCCAAGATATGAGGCAGCTATTGTCTGGATGTGCTGTTCTATGACAAATCTTTGTCTTCCCAAATACTTGCACCTTGACTAATATTAGCTTCCTTTTTCGGTAAAAAAAAAAATCTAGGTCAAAAAAATCACAATGGAGAGGACAAAAGGAGAGCAAAAAGCAAACTCCTAGAACACACAGCAGAGCCTGAAAACAGATGTCCCTTTCTCTTCCGCCACCGAGGTTAATTAAGGCGATTTCTTTAGCATCACCCTGGAGCCCGAGATGCTCCCAGCTGAAACTCCGTCAACACAGCAGAGCAGCTTCCAGACCCCGCTGTGCACGAGAAGAGAGGTCGCCCACAACTTCCACCGTAACCCAGGGCAGGGAGCCATATTTTTTTTATTCCAGGTAAGAAAACGGCAAGGTGTATGCGATGTCATGAGCACAGCACCCCTGCCATCAATCGCCTTTGCCCAGAACAGTCGGTGCCAGCACACAAAGCCCCATCAAAGCAGGGATAAAACCCTCCCCTCGCACCCCAACACCCGGCTGGTTGGAGGGGGAGGGGCGGGCCCAGATGACCGGAGAGGTCTGGGTGGGCGTGGGGCCCAGGGCTGGAGACCCCAGGGCGGCGGGCCACGGGGTCAGACAACCTCGGAGAAGTTGGGAATCTGAGGGAGCGGGTCGGCCTCACCTTCGCCCGCTTGCGCCGGCTGGTCCTTCGCCCCTCCGGCGTCTCCGCGATTCCCGTTTCCATGGGGGTCGCTGATCCAGGCAGCACGGTAGGCCCGGCTTGCGCCCCGGCGGATCCCGGTGGCTCGGCCAGGCCCCCCGGCGGCGAGGCCCGCGGAGGCTCCT